TGAAGCCTTTTAAAAGACGAGTATTCCCTGTGGTTCATGTTTTGTGGCATGCGCCAGAAAGATGCTCAAGGAGACCGAGACGCGCTAAAGCAGCGCATTCTGTTGTTCTCTTTATTTTTCAAAGGCATGACATTTTGTAGTTATTTTGAACATAACGTTACACAATTAAAAATATACATTTTACCATACGACTATAAATGACAGAGTATTAAAAATCCAAGTGAACATCAATCAGTACTCAATATTAACTTAAACTGCTTTAAATATGGCTGCTGCTTATTTCCTGTGCACTTCAATACTGGTCTGCGCTTGACTGTAGTTGCGTCTGTCTGCTTATTGAGTTGATTTAGGCTAACCCATCACAATTTATTGGAACTGTGTGCACTAGAGTGACTACTCACCTTAATGTTGTTCTCACAGCTCACGCTGCGCACAAGTGCATATCCTTTTGAGATATCAATTATAATCAATTTTAATAAAACACAAGACTACATTAAAATAACTCTAACAGAAGCATACAACTGCAGCAGTGGAGGACTATTATTCTGTTGCGTGATAGTGCGGAAGAACTGATGAAGGCACGGTTTGATCTTCGGCTGACCAATCAGCAGAAAGGGGCGTTTAATTCCCGCCCACGTGTAGAAATCGAATATTCAATCTGTTTATTAATTTTTCCAACCATGAACGAAAAACAAAAATTTAAGCTGAATTTTCGTTTTTCGTTTTTTGGAAAAAAAACTAAAAGGAGCCGTTTTCTAATTTTTCTACTTTCAATATTAAATAAAAAAACGAATGATACACAGATTCATTTGTGTAAGAAAATCTCTTCTTGTTTGCTTATTTTACTTATTAATTATTTTTTCGATTATTATTATTATTATTATTATTTTATTTTTTGCTTTAGTTAAAAAAAATGTTTTAATTTAGTGAGGTTTTTGCGTGAAAATTTGTGTAAAAATGTTTCTCAAAAGTTTGCTTCTTAATTACATTTATTGTATTTTACAGATATGTAGATATACTGTTAATTATACTAATTAGGTAATCAGTCAGATAATAATGATCCTTTCTATTATTATTATTATTTTGTTGTTGTTGGTATTGTTTTAACCAGAAACCAAGACCAAAACATTTGTATATAAAGTTTTTGACTGCATTTTATGTATTTACAGTCACTTCATATTCATACAATGTGAGCAGATTGGATTGTCTGAGACTTTATCTTTATTAAGATGTGTTTTTTATAAGGTTTTTGGCTGTATTCGACTGTGCTTGAAGTGCAATGTACTGTTCTACAGTACAAGAACAGCCAAGTCCTCCATCAAAAGGCAGGAGATTGTACTCCTACAGCCGCAATACGAGCATTGCGATTTCTCCTATTTCCTTTTTCCACAAGTGCTTCATCTCCTCTCTCTTCTACTGTCTGTCTGTACATTACACCAATCTTCTATAAAGAGGCTTGCTAGCCCCACATATGTGTGCTTGTCTGAGAAGCATTGTGTTAGTGACAGGCCTTTTATAACACTATTAGATAGAGATTACAGGACATACCCTCCTCTTCCTCCTCCTCGTCCTCTTTACGAGGCTTTGTGGGATTCAGGCACTTCATTCAACAGCTCCACTGTTTATTTTATTCAGAGTACTTGAGGCCAAACACCTTATTTATCCAAAAGAGAATGAGCAGACTTGACATTAATCCTGTTTGCATTGTTAAGTTATGTAATCTTGTGCATTCACACATCCAGGCATGCATCATGTTAATGCATGTTACTACTGCTGGATACCCTAATGTTATTGATCACTGGCCATAGCTTTTGAAAATATCACAAATGGTTAGTATTACCATATGTTACCTTGAATAAATGTTGCCATGAAAGTATGTTTTCAGCTGTCACGTCTCATCTGTAGGGGCCTTGTTTCATGATGCATGTTTTGCTTTGTACTAATGCAGTCAAATACAATTATTTTTGTTGTACAAACGTATGTTTACTTCATGTTCTTTAAACCCCTGTGTATGTGCTTTCTTCCAGCCACCCAGTTACATCACCACCATCGTGGTTCAGGTTCAGTGCACCAATGAGCTGGTGGGAACAGTTATTCTGCACGAAGTACGGATAGTGGTGAGGGACAGAAATGACAACACGCCTCGTTTCCAGCAGCCTCGTTACTATGTATCAGTTAATGAGGTGAGGCCTGATCACTTATGCACTGCCTCATTTACTTTGTGTCTCTGTCTCTGTCAATTCAGTTTCAATTGAATGTGCATGGTATGCAAATTTTGTGAGGTGAGTACTGTGTCTGACAATACAGTGTGACCAATGAACCAGTAAGTAATTACAAAAAAAGTTATGAAATGTTATTTATTTTATTTTTGGAAGGAAATTAATGCTTTTGTTCAGCAATGATGCATTATTATGCTTAATTTATATGATTCATTTATTTAAATGTATGCATTTAAATATTACATTTATAATATTACAAAAGATGTATATTCCAGATAAATGATTTTCTTTTGAGCTTTCTATTCATCAAAGAATTCTGCAAAAAAGTCAGTTTCCACAAAAATATTAAGCAGTGCAATTGTTTTCAACATTGATAATAAAAAATGTGTTTATTAAGATATGTTTCTTAAGCACTAAATCAGCATATTAGAATGATTTCTGAAGGATGCTGTTATAAACTAAATTTTGCTGGTTATTAGAAACTGACACAAAGCCTTTCGATATGTCCCACTCACTCTTTCAATAAGAAATACATCAAGAAAACTGCACTCATGACTGAATAGAGAGCAGGAAGTGAAGCCGACACATATGAAGTCATTGTATAGTCTGTTGGCGTGCTCCATCAGTTATTCAGATCTAAAACCATCCCCTTTGGCTTCGGCTCAAAATTATTCTTAAAATTATGCACGCACACACACGCTTGACCCTCTTCTCCACAAGTGCAGATATGAGGACTATTTTTAAACTTAAAGGCTTTCATTTATTTGGAATACGTTTGAATATGTTCCGTGAGCGTGTATGTGTTGGGTGTGTAAAAGCTTGGCTTCTTTATGCTTGTCAATCTCTTTCCTCTTCTTAAAGTCAAATATGCTGTCATCCTTTTCTTCCTGCCTTTCTCCTCCTGTACATGCAAAATGAGAGAGAGAAATACAGTGAAGGGATGAAGTTAAGGGGGTGCGGGGGGCAGGAAGGGGAAAGTATCAGGTGGTATTTGCATTTGGGGGCGGATGTGATCACGTGAGTTGCTTTTGATCCAAAAGGCTGTGACTTGGTTCATGGGTTTTCTGGGTGATTTGGAGCCCCAGAGGCAGACTGGTCTTGAATGTGTGGGAGAGAGAGGTTTCACGTGTGAATTTCAGTCCTCAAGAGATGCTGACATCGAGCTCAGAATTCCAAGCAAGATGAGATTAGCACTAGATTGTCAGGTTGTTTTCCAAAAATTATTTTGGCTTCATGCCTGATGCGGGAAAGAGCCTGCAACAGTGTCTTCAATTATTCAATCTACCATGCTTTAACATTGGCTCGTTGTGTTTTTGATGTTCTCCAGCACAGAGAAAATTGCAAGGGCCATTGTACAATTGTGGTCACAGAAAGACTTTCAAATGGCTGAATACGTTTTTTATTTTTATTTTTTAAATACTTGGTTTAAAACTGTTTTAGTATGAAATATTTTTTCGTTATTTTCACTTATAATTTTGAAAGTCTCTATATATGCATTTACAATATTTATATACAATAAAATATGTACAATATATCTTTATTGCTAAAAATAGCTAAATATTTGTTGTAAAATACATTTGACAAATTGAAATAATATAATATAAAAATATTATATATATATATATATCATTTTCATTCATTAATTTCAGACTCTCTTATCCAAAATAAATTGCAAATGAGAATAATACAAGCAGAAGTGATTAATCCAGCATAATAATAATACAGTCATTACCATTAATCATTTTTAAGTTTCAGAACTTAAAAAAAAAGATTAATGCTAGCATTCTTTTGTCTTTGTAATGTCTTCCACCACAATTGATTTATTCATAAATGTACTGTCTCTGATGTTATTGGTTTTTTATTATCTTTAATTATATGAAACACCACTTCACTGAATATGCCAGCCATGGGTAAATCATTAATTTATTTTTTTAAATCCTGCAGTGGTTTAATGAGACCTTCTATGAAACAAGAAATGGAAATTCATTAATATAGCACAGTAGGTTTAATGTATTATTATTATTGAGTTTACTTTTCAGAAAAAGAAGCAGATGGAAGTGTCACCGCAGTTGTAGATTGACCCTAACCTGTTATTTTAATATCAGTAGTGTGTGTATTTTTGTGCAGGCGTACGTACAGGTTTTGCTCTCTCTCTCTCCTTCCGTTTTGACTTTGGCTTTTTGTTGTCTTCTCTTTGTTTTTTCTCTGTGTATTTTCTTTCTTCCTCTTCTGTCCCTGTCTAGTCTGTCTTCTAAGGGGATTCAGAAGGAACACACACACATACACACTATCTGGGTCAGACGGGTCACATCTGAGGCCTGTCAGAGTTGCTGTGTTGTTACACAAGCATATAGCCAGTGTCTGATGTTTGTTTCATGTGTTTTTTAATGATATCTCTCCAGCTCACTCCTGTCGGTACCACCATCTTCACCGGCTTCTCAGGAAACAATGGAGCCACGGACATCGATGACGGACCAAACGGACAGATCGAATACGCCATTCAGTACAACCCAAATGACCCGGTACTTCATCAGATCAAACAGACCTTCTGCAGTTACACTCAAGTTCTTCATTGTAATTAATGATTAATTTAAAGCAGTGACTTTATGAGTGAACTTTCAAACTGCAATGTTTTATTTAAAATAGTGCAATCTTTCTCTGTCTCTCTGTCTCAGATGTCAAACAGGACCGTGCGTGTTTCTGGGACGCTGTCTGGTAATATTGTTTTGGCAGAGCGGCTGAACTATGAGGAGAGAACGCGCTATCTAATTATAGTCCAGGCCCATGTAAGATTATTAACACATAAAATATCCTTCACTATCATACAGTGTTGTTCCTTTACGCCTAATACATTTAAGAGGAGTGTTTCAGGGTAAATACAACAACAGCTATAGTGACATGTTGTTGATTACCACAGAAAATAACTTAAAAAATGATGATTGCAATAATGCACTTAGAGTACAGAAGATTGTTGCTGTCTTTTGGGCACGGCCTATTGCTGAGATAAATGTTAAGGTTTTGAAAGTGCAGCCACAAAGCTTAAACATTATGAATGTTCATCATGAGACAAGTGTGAAAAAAAAATCATAGATTAAATTTTGTGAATATACATGTGCATATATATATATATATATATATACATATATATATATATATATATATTTTATTTAATTTTTTCGATTTTTGCATGCATGTCTTATTTTTTTTCTTATATATAAAAAAATGTTTTTTAGTTCCAGTTTTAACAGTTGTTTGAGTGGTTTTGGTTAAGGGCACTGGTGACTTTAGTGCGTTTGTGAGTGTGCATTTGAGAGTTTAGATTTGTTTGTGAGTTTGTATTTGAGAGTGCTTGAGCTTGCATTGGAGTGTTTTTAAAGTTTGCGTTTGTGAGGTTACCAGTTTGAATTTATAGCGGCGAGTTTTCGTGTGAGAGTTGTTGAGTTCACGTGTGAGTTTGCATTTGAGAGTTTAGATTTGTTTGTGAGTTTGTATTTGAGAGTGCTTGAGCTTGCATTGGAGTGTTTTTAAAGTTTGCGTTTGTGAGGTTACCAGTTTGAATTTATAGCGGCGAGTTTTCGTGTGAGAGTTGTTGAGTTCACGTGTGAGTTTGCATTTGAGAGTTTTTGAGTTTGTATTCAAGGGATTATTAGTTTGAATTGTACTTCTAAGGTTACGTTTGAACGTTTTTGAATTTGCATATGCCTGTTTATGGATTTGAATTTGAACTTGTGAGTTTTCATTTGAGAGGTTTTGAATTTGCATTTGTACTTCCGATTTTACATGCAAAATTTGTTCAGTTCAAGTTTGTGAGTTTGCATTTGTCAGTTTTTGAGTTTGAGTTTGTGCGAGTTTTCGTGTGAGAGTTGTTGAGTTCACGTGTGAGTTTGCATTTGAGAGTTTTTGAGTTTGTATTCGAGGGATTATTAGTTTGAATTGTACTTCTAAGGTTACGTTTGAACGTTTTTGACTTTGTGTATGTATGTTTATTGGTTTGAATTTGTTCTTGCAAGTTTAAGTTTGAGAGTTTTTGAATTTGCATAAGCCTGTTTATGGATTTGAATTTGAACTTGTGAGTTTTCATTTGAGAGGTTTTGAATTTGCATTTGTACTTGCGATTTTACATGCAAAATTTGTTCAGTTCAAGTTTGTGAGTTTGCATTTGTCAGTTTTTGAGTTTGAGTTTGAAGGTTTATGAGTTTGAATTTGTTCTTGCAAGTTTAGGTTTTAGAGTTTTTGAACTTGCATTGGTAAGTTTATTGATTTGAATTTGTGAGTTTATGTTCATGAGTTTTTGAAGTTTGAATTTGTACTTGCGAGTTTACATTTGAGAGATTTTGAATTGACGTTCGTTTGAGTTCATGTTTGTGAGTTTGCATTTGTAAGTTTTTGAGTTTGAATGTTTATGAGTTTGAATTTGTAATTTGTACTTGTATTGAGTTTCTTTGAGAGTTTTTGAATATACATTGGTGAGTCTATTGTTTAGAATTTGAGAGTTTATGTTTTTGAATTTATACTTGCGAGTTCACATTTGAGTTTTTAAATTCATGTTTGTAATTTTGTGTTTACAAGTTTTGAGTTTACGTTCGAGAGTTTTCAAGTTCCTGTTTGTGAGTTTGCATTTGATGGTTTATGAGTTGGAATCTGTACTTCTGACTTTTTCGGTTTATGTTTCTGAGTTTAAAAGTTTGAATTTATACTTGCAAGTTTACTTCTGAGAGTTCCTGAATTTGCATTTGTGAGTTTATGGCTTTGAATTTGTATTTGCAAGTATATGTTTGAAAGATTTTGGGTTTGCATTTGTGAGTTTATAAGTTAGAAATTGTACTTGTGAGATTACATGCAAGAGTTTTTGCATTTGAGAATTTTTGACTTTGATTTTGAGGGTGAATGAGTTTGAATTTGTGTTTATGATTACTGTGCATAACACTTACAAGTTTGAGAAGTTCACCTGCCTTGAAACAACACCTGGAGCCATTGCTGTAAATGCAGCTTAAAAGCTATGACTTAGTACAACTTCCATTGTTTTACTATAAACACTTTGTTAATATGTTGTTTATCAACCTTAACTTGTTTATATTGCACATTATTGCTTTAAGTTGAAACCAACCCTAACAATGTGCATATACTTGTGCTAGTAATTGAAGGCTTACTTATCTGATTCCTGTAAGGAGTGAACCATGAGCTGCAAGTCACTTTGGATAAAGATGTCTGCTAAATGACTTCTCACTCTGTAACCTTTCCTGTAGATTGCAAAAAATAACCTTGAATTTTGGTCAAGCGTTTTAGGCCTGTTAGGTTGCCAGTTTGCACAATGCACTTTTTAAAATTCCAGGCACCTCCCTATATCTGTCACTGAATAACCGGCATCCTGATTCACTTCCAAATGCATCCCTCCACCCTTACATGAGCTGCATACACAACTAGCTCCAAACCCGTCTCGAACAGCATCCCTATGAGGGTGTCCAGACCCTGGAGGCCGTAAGCATGTTTTCATAGAGCCAAATGGCTCAAATAAATGCTTTACATCAAGGCTGCAACAGCTCTCCTTGAAGAAAATAGAATCATTTCAGGATGTGGAAAATGAGGGGATAGATTTGTTACTGTTTTTTTTTTCTTTCTGAAATCTTTTTGAAGGAAAAATACAGAACAGCAGAGTTGGCTTTGATATGAATAATGCACGTTTTATTTAGATCCTGGTTGTTGGAATTTGTTAAGTCAATAATTACAATTTGGAGAATTACATTTAATTACACTGCATTTACACTTTTTTCTTTACCTGTTGGTCTGGATTCATTGCTATTAAATTTCATCTTGAACATCTTGACAGTATTTAAGATTTTCTGTGTGGAAAAATACAAAGTTTATAAACGGTCATAAGTTCACAGTATGATATGCAAAAATGTATTTATGCATGATAATTTAACAGTTTTAAAAAAACACCTTTTGCTTGTTCCAGCAAAATAAAAAATAAGACTTGAGTTGACTTTAGTGTTTAAATATTAAAAAAATAAATTAAACTATTGTTTTTTTTCACTCATTCTTCTGTTCTCATTATTGTTGTCTCTCTGTATGCAGATCTGTGAATGTGAATCTAAAGGTCTGTATCTATGGTAACATGCCAGCTTTTTTTTCCAGGACCGGGCTCCGTATCCGGGAACTCGTCGCACAGCAACCACTACTCTAACTCTGGATGTCTCGGATGGAGATGATCTGGGTCCTATGTTCCTCCCGTGTGTTCTGGTCAACAACACACAGGACTGTAACCCCATCATATACCGTGTGGCTATTCCTGAGCTCACTGACCCGGTAAGAACTTGCAGAGAACTTCAGAGGTCTTTAAATGTTGAATATTCCCTTCATACATTTATTTTCCAACTGAAAAAACAGGTCCAAACCAGGTATCTGTAAGTGGATCTAAGACCATCTAAAGAGCATGGTTTCTAGCTGGTCCCAGTTGGATATTTAGAAACTATAAACCATATAAAACCAGCTGCCATCTTAAGATTTTACCTGGATTTTCAAGTAAGGATGTTGTCAGAACCTGTTACTTGCCACAAGCTACAGTCATGATGCTGTATGCAGCGTCTGGTATAGCTAGGTACAAAGGCAGGAAGATGTCTTAACTTGACCGAAACACTTCACCTGTGACCCAATGAGCAAGACAGGGTGATCTGAGGCTATGCAGTGGGCAGCCCTGGATAGATGCTTTCTTAGAGAAAGACTTGAGTGCTTGAGAACAAGGTTTGTGCATGAGATTGTTCCTTGAACTATAAAGAAATAAATAAATGATGCACTGTATGTGCATTAATAATTCAGCCTCACACAGCAAGGACCACTCACTGACGGTTTGCTATCATTCAAAATGTTTTTGAAAAAAAGTATCTTATGCCCATCAAGGCTGTATTTGTTTGATAAAAAAGTAAAAACCGTTATATTGTGAAATAGTATTGCAAAATATATTTTTTTATATATATATTTTATAGAAATAATTTTAATATGCTGATTTGGTGCTCATTTGTTTCTTAATATTATCAGTGTTAAAAACAGTTATGTTGCTTAATATTTTTGTTTAATGAATAGCAAGTTTATAAGGACAACATTTATTTTAATATTTTCAACTTTACTGTCACCTTTGATCCATTTAATGCATCCATAAAATTATGCCTGCTAACCTCAAACCTGTGAATGGTATAAAATAAAATTATAAATGGTATATGAATGGTATAAAAAAAAATATGCAGTACAGCAGTTACCTGAGCATGTTTTTTCTGATGTCAGGATTCTGTGTTTTGCCCCTGTTTCTGGTCCTGTGTTTCCTTATTTGGTCCTTCCTGTTTCCATTAGGTTCCCTGATTAGTTCCTCATTTGTTTCCAGCTGTGTTTAGTTAATTATCCTCATTTCCCTGTGTACTTAAGTCCTAGTCTGTTCAGTTTGTGTTTGTCAGGTCTACTCGTTCTCTACGTGTGTTGGCTCAAGCTTCTATTGTGGCTTGTCTCCTGCGTTTCATGATTAAAGACTGTTAAACGTTTCCTCGGGACTCCAGCGTGCTCCCTCAACAGCGTGACGTGACAACTGACGAATGGCACAATTTACTTTTTTTTTTTTTTTTTTGAGAATCCAATAGTGAACTTTTGGTTATCTTTGTAATAATCATGTCTTGTTCATGGACACTTGAATGACATTTTGATGTTTTCACTGGACATTGTATGGACCAGCTCAAGAAAAGTGTAAAGCTCAGTATTTGTGTCATTGTGTTGTTGGTGTTTTGTTGACCCTTCACCGGTTAAATGTCAGTCCTTTCATATTTCCCATCACATACGTTGCTCTACTGACCTGTGCTTGGCTAAAGATGAGACTCATACAGCAGGGGCAGGAAGGGTGAGAAACGAGGGATTTAGATGAGAAAAATAGTTGGCTGATGAAAGTTAGCTGGTACAGATTGAATGAGATCAGGGACAGGGAGTAGAGACAAAGTGGGATGAGACCCTCAGTAAAACCACAGGGTTCACCACCCATCAAAGCCAAGATGTGAAGCTTTGATGAAATCAGACCCCAGTTGAAGTGAGCTGCAGTGGGCAGACCTCTGAGGAGATGAATCTTTATGGAACCAAACCACATGGAGAAAAAAGGAGAGAGTCCAGCACATATAGCCATGGCTGATCTTTGCTCAGGGGGGACTGCCGTAATGTATGCTAAAAATATTTTCCACTGCAGACGCTGCACTCCCAACGGCTGCCAGTTTCTGCGCTGAATAAAAGTGCTGCAGATTTGCTTCATTTCGAGCTGTTTTACTCTCTTTTTTGCATTCTGCGTGCTGCAATTCATGCGTTTTCACAGAGACGATCTCCTTTCGCTTTTCTTGCTGTTCTCTGATTATCTCACAAATTATAAAGGATTAGTGTGTGAGGAAATCCATTTCAGAAAATTGATTTAGATTGGGTGACCCCCTCACAAACACATTTTACATTCATTCTGTTGATCTGCTCTGACAGTGGCTGTGTTTGGAGTAGCATACTTTCTGCAGTAGGCCTATACTATAGTATGACTAATCTATATGCACATTTTCTGTGCAAACATAAAATACTGGAAAAAATATATATTCAATTGGATTCTAAGTTAAGTTCAATTGGATTTTTAAGAAGCAAATATCTTCAAATTATCATCAAAGCTGCATTTATTTGATAAAAAAATAACAGTTAAAACAAAAATATTGTGAAATATTATTACAATTTAAAATAACTGTTTTGCATTTTAATATATATATATTAAAATGTAATTTATTCCTGTGATGCAAAGCTGGATTTTCAGCATCATTACTCCAGTCTTCATGATCCTTCAGAAATTATTTTAATATACTGATTTGCTGCTCAAGAAACATTTTTATTATTATCAATGTTGAAAACAGTTGTGCTGCTTAATGTTTGTGGAAACCTAAGACGAACTTTGATGAATGGAAAGTTCTAAATAACAGCATTTATTTGAAATGGAAATATTTTGCAACATTATAAATGTTACTAAAATTACTGTCACTTCTGACCAATTTAGTGTGTCCTTACTGAATAAAAGTATTAACTGCTATTATTATTATTATTAATAATAATCGTACTGACCACAAATTTGAACTGTGGTGTATCTTTATTTGTTTGTTTGTTTGAGATAAATTAATGAGATCATTAACTAAATTTAACATAATGATAACGGGGTCATGTGACAGCAATATAGCATGCTACTCTTTGAAATAGCTGACTAAGTTCAGGCTGGGTGCACTATGAAACTATTTTAAAAGTTTTATGCAACATTGTAGTCACATTACCTCTCATGTTAAATTGAATTGTGGCATTCAGCTATCTTCTTATACAGAACCGAAAATTCACATGCTACACATGGTACTGCAGAGATTTTAAGAGTAGTATTTTAATAAGTTATTGTAAACACATCCTGTATAAATGCATAATGTGTTCTGTTTCAAATACTGTTTTTAAAACAATACTGGCCAGTAGTCAGTGTGTACTGCGCAGTATGCAGTAAGCATTATGCTAGTGTTCCATTCCCAACATAGATTCTCTCTCATTTCCTTTGGCAGGAATAGTGGTAATTAATGAGGTCACATATTTCACAATTAGAGCTGGGATATGGTTCGAGAGTCTTTTTCCTGTCTCTAGGCACAGATTAATCGGCCTAATGCCTGCTGGAGGGGGGATTATGGGTAGTTTTAAATGTCTCAGGTGGGCAAGAATTCTGATTTACTGTGCTCACATATTTAACATGGAGCGTCTGTATTTACGCTGCCATTTTAATGAAGCACCCATCCCAAAGGAGATGCTTCTTATTATCATATCCGTTAGAGGCCATATTTGTCTGCACGAAATGCACACTCATCTGTAGAGCACAGATTAATACAATCAAGTGTCCCAAGGGCTTTGCTTTTAGCCCAGAGGAAAACCCTCAGTGGATGCTCTTTCATAGCTTGAGACTTAATGGAGATCTCAAAGTGTTTTATTTATGTATCAACTTTGTTTCAGATGTTTCTCCTGACATTTGGAGAAGTAAAAGTAGACACAAGTTGTATCTATAATTTAATGGACTTGAGCTAACAGGAACTAACAACGAACAGCTAAACTAATGTTAACAAAGAGTAATAAGTACTGTAACAAATGTGTTGCCCATTGTTACTTATGGTTAGTTAAAGGAATAGTTCACCCAAATATGAAAATTTGCTGAAAATGTAATAACCCTCAGGCCATCCAAGATGTAGATGAGTTTGTTTCTTCATCAGAACAGATTTGGAGAAATGTAGCATTACATTACTTGCTCACCAATGGATCCTCTGCAGTGAATGGGTGTCGTCAGAATGAGAGTCCAAACAGCTGATAAAAACCTCACAATAATCCACACAACTCCAGTCCATCAATTAATGTCTTGTGAAATGAAAAAAAAACCCTAAAATAATAAAAATCCAAAATATTTCTTTCTCCAGTGAAAAAAATTACATCTCATCTGAATTAGGGGAGATCTCAAATATCTTATTTATATTTATTTAGCCTTATCATATCTATGTATGTTCCCAGTTTCATTCTTTCCATATTATTTCACAGAAATTATGACCTGGTCCTTTACTGGTGTATCAGGAGAAGTGGTTTCTCTAGCAGTATGTCTACCAATATTGATTAATGCCCCCCAAAAGTCAGTGTGTGTTATGGGGTATGATGTGTATCTTTTCTTGGGCAACAGTGGAACTCAATAGTTATGTTTAGTCAAAACTAGCAAAGAGTGTGTGTATATATAAAAACCTACATATAAAAAACAATACTTTCAAAAGATATCTCCCCTGATAAATATTTTATGTAAAAAGTGTGTCAAATAGCACTGGTCTCCAATATATCTAACTCTTCATAAATGATCCCCTCCCACAACCACACACACACACACCACCCCCGGCTAAGACTTTTGTGTTTGACCTGATCTCAAGTCTCAACACTTCTTGAGAACACCAACATCTACAGACTGAAACATTTGTAAGCTTGCACAGTTCTGGGAAGAATCCACTTCAACAGAATGCACAAACCAGGTAAGATTAATTATTTATATTGTGTAAAACTAATATATATATATATGTCAAAACTATATTTATACTGTAATTTTTCTCAGATAATGTTTCCTCTTTTCTACAGTATCCTACACACAAGACTGGGTCAACTCATCTTCAGAGATTATAAATGGTAACATACATAAGTTGTTGCGATGTTTTATTGTCCATTTTTGTATTGTTTCACCTATCCAATTAAATAGTTTCCTTTACTAAACACATTTTATGTCTTTTAGGTATGCTGCAGGAATTATGATGAGGCTATGAAGAAGAGGTTTTCATAGTTTCACTCCGGAAAGGCCCAGCTGAAACACTCAGTCACGGTTGTGGCAAAAGAAAAAAAAGCCAGAGAGACAACAGTAAGTTTAGAAATTGACATGATGTAACTTATTAAATAGGCTATTAGCCTGTAAAGATGATTGTCAACATTACTGTTTTGCAGATGCTGGAGACAAGGTCAACTGAAACAAACACAGAAAGAGCACCGCGGAGGACAGAAATGGTTGAGCTCAATGTAAGATGAGGAAGATGTTGATGTGGATGCACACAGGATCTACAGTGAGGAATGGAGTCTGCTGGGACACTTCATTTCATGTGTTATTTATTGCATTTGTTTGCAATCTTTAATTCAAAGTAGATGTTGTATTTTTAAATGCTGAAATTGTTTTCTGACTGTTTTTATGTTTTGGATACTATTTACTATTTTCCCCTAATAAAGACAAACAATCAATCTGCCCACCACGTCTGCAACCAATCACATCATTCACCTGTAAGGTTTTTGGGAGGGACGTATTCTAAATGTAACCAATAAATTCACTTTCTGTAAGGGTTTTGGGTGGGATAAATAACAAGTTTACCAATGAAATGACTTTTGAGGAAAGTCTGTGTGCTCAGTGGCCCAAAAGCTGTCTGGTTTAGGGGTGGGTTTAGTTTCAAATCAACCAATCCAGTTTAACATGAATAACCAAAAGGGGAGGGCACAGCGCCACGTAGGTGTGAACACCCCCTTCATTTAGGGGATTACTTGCCATGGCAACAAATGGCTGTTGCACTAAAGAATACCTCAGTAGCATACATCCGAATTGGTACATATCTGGCAGTATACGGACCTATGGTATTTCCGTGTCTGGTCAGTAATACAGCTCTTTTTTTATGCAATTTTTTCAGTCATTTACACAAGAAAACAGCCCAAAACAGTTCTAAATAAATATGTTTGGATGTAAGAGGATGACGTGGGATGGACTTTTTCACTGGAGGTGAAGTGTTATTATGAAATATTGACTTGTATTTTGGGCAGAAGTAATGGTTTGAATCAAAACTCCCTTAACTGATGGACTGGAGTCATGTGTTGGTGCGGAAGTGATGCAGATAGCATAGTTCAGATCATTTGGTCTTGGAAGAATCTGATGAGAAACATTTGAGTCCAGACTGGGGTGAAACAATAGATATAAAATGATTTAAAAATTGAATATTGAATTAATTTAGCCCACTCTAATCTTGTTTGCCCCCTTAGTCATTTATTCCTGTCTTCTTTTTTTCAGAGCAAACTGAACCCTCTGAATGTGACACCTCCCATTCGAGCCATCGACCAGGACAGAAACATCCAGCCACCCTCAGACAGACCGGGAGTCATGTACTTCATACTGGTTGGTAGGTACTTCAATTCACATATTTTGCAAGTGTTGAAAAATAGATGCATATATATACACAACTGTACTCTTAACCAATATTTCCATACATTTAAAAGATAAACTTGGTTCTTTAATGTGTTATTAGGGTTTACAGCAGACTATATAAGTTCAGGTGGGGCATATGGAATTCCCTTTTTTTATCCAATAGCTTAATATAAATAATAGCATGAATCATATAATAACACAAGTTTTGTGTCTCTCTCTGTACTGCGTTTCAGGTCAACCTGCTACGTACCTAGAATTCTTTTCGCTCAACAGGAGCACAGCTGAGCTGCGGCTGCTGAAGCCTGTGGACAGAGAGCTGTACCAGCACTTCAATCTCGTTATTAAGGTCATTATATCATCATCAGGTTATCTTCTACAGATGGCTGTAAAGATAAGAGAGGTTCATCTAACACCCTGCTCACCGTGTCCAGAGGCTCTTACATTTAAGCGTCAATAAGAGTGTCATCATTTTTACAATAGTACTGGCTCAATGCTTTATGACCAAAATAACACCCGGTATTAGCTGCAGTATATTTCTGGAAATATTCTCTTCATTTTACAGCAATAGTATCCGAAATTGAACACAGTCTGTATGTACACACTTTCACTTTGGTTTTGTTTAAACACCTAGTGAGCTGTCTATTTAGGAAGCAATTTAAAGCTTTGTAGTTGCTTTCTTGCATTAATTAGTATAACAATTATTACAAGGCAGCATCACATATATCATTTTATAGAGAATGTGCTTTCACAGTGCATTTGTGATGAACTTTGCATTTGTCAATACCAAAAAAGATTGACAAAACATGCATACTGTTCAAAAGTTTGAGCACTTTTATTCAGCAGGAATGCATTAAATTGATCAGGAGTGAAAGTAACAACATTTATAATGTTTCAAAAGATTTCTATTTCAATAATTCTGTTCTTTTGAAAATGAATCATGGTTTCACAACGATATTAAGCAGCAACATTGTTTTCAACATTTTTGAAGGATCACATGACACTAAAGACTGAAGTAATGGCTGCTGAAAATGTGCATCACAGGAATAAATTACATCTTAAAATATATTAAAATGTAAGACAGTTGTTTTAAATGGTAAAAATATTTAGCAATTTACTGTATTTTTCATCAAATAAATGGAGTGCTGGTGAACATAAGAGACTTTTTTGAAAACATCTTTCCAACAACCAACTTTTGAACAGTAGTGTAGTTCTGTCTAATTAACACGATACTATTTTAAAATAGTATATTGTTATCATATCACATCATTAGTTTAGCACTGAAATTAATCGATCATTCCGGTTTCCCATGAGCTTTGTGCAAAGAGCGTTATTTGTATGCCACACAGTTTCTGCCTATGTAGAGCGTTACTTGAGATCCCATTTTCGTTAGGATGCTGCCTTTGTAGGTGGTAGACACCGAGGCAGCTCACTAGATTTTGGAATAGAGCTTTGTATATTTAATTACATTAAACATGCTGTATCTACTAATTGAATTGAGCTGGAAGAGAAAGAGCAAGAGAGAGAAATTGAAAAAAGGAAGCGAGCACTGGTGTGAAATGATCCTGCTCTGTCATAGATTTGGGTGGAACAACAGTGTAACAGTAGGGGTAATTTAAATGTTTCCTCTGTGAAACGATGCATGACTGTGTTTGCTGTTATGATTTCGTCGTTTCATAATAACAAAGAACGATATGCTATTCTCAGTTCGCTTCAATCTTGCTGAAATTCGAGCACAAATAACAAACAAAGCATTGCCGCTGTCAACATTGTCAGATGTGCGTATGTGTGCATGTTTCAAATGTGTGAAGTAGCTATTGAGTTACTGAGCTGCAGTCTTTCATGGCTTCTTAATGAAATCAGTGATAGACGGGGCTCATAATTGAAATGAAAATATTCAGGGAGATGTATCCACATACTCCTCTTTAATAAACAAAGATCAGTTTGAGCCGTTTTGGGTCCATGAATTTTAACTGCTAATTTGAATTTAATAGAAAAAAAAAACCTGTTTTACTTGATGTTCTTTAGACATTACTACAATTTCTTTACACTAGTTTAACTACACTGAAATTTTTTATATACTGTATATATATTTTAATAAAATATATATAAAAAAGTTTTATATAAAATATAAAGTTTGCACATTTATACGTATTTTATATACATTTACATTACATCTTAAACTAAAACCATAAACATTTTTCTTAAAATAAACTTTAAGTGAAATCAAATAAAATATATGAAAAATTAAATAAAAACTCAAAATATTAATAAAAATGATCTCTGATACTTTTTTTTGGACATTTACCATAATGATTTTTTTTTTCTTATGTACCATTTTTAATGTAATTTTACTTAAAGGAATGCCATGTGAATACAGTGTTATTTGAATATGTTAATAATTCATTACCATTGTACTGTCATCATGATGTTTGAATAGAAATACAGCAGATTATAGTTTGTTTGCAAATTATAAGAGTGAACTGTCTGAAGCAACTGTCAACCATAGGACAACCTTAAGCTTTTCTTTTTAGAGAATTTTAACAGTTTGTTTGTTCGTGAACAGGCCGAGCAGGATAACGGTCACCCTCTTCCTGCATACGCTGACCTGCAGATTGAAATTCTGGATGAGAACAACCAGGTGCCATATTTCCAGCGTTCCTCGTACCAGGGCTTCATCAGTGAGTCTGCCTCTGTTGGCACCACCATCTCAGGGAGCGCCAACCTCACGGCCCCGCTGGGCATCATCGCACTGGACAATGACATAGAAGAGGTGAGATGTTCTCATGAAAAGTGCCAGGACATTTTCAAAATGTTGCTTCACTCCTTTCTTGGGAATGCAAAGATCCATAAAATCACAGGTGGTTTCAGTCTCTCCATATGTTTTATATTGTAGCTGCTGCCAGGGGCCACACCAGTAGGTACCAGAGTGATGTGATGTGTGCCCTCTTTTCTTTTCTTTTGTATTTATAATATAATGGTTCAACAAATGCAGTTTTCTTTCCTTCTTTGCTGTGTTTCCTATTAATACATGAAGTTGGGACATTATATATTGAATAGTTTGTCTTTTTTTAGCCAGTAGGCTATAATTTGTCACAGTTGTGAGCCATTGTTTGTGAGGCAGACGATCTCATTCTAAACAGCAATCGATTGCACAAACATTTTCATGCAAAAAGAGTTAACGGTTATATTTTTCTCTTTTCCTTGAAAAGAGAGACTGTAAATTGTAACCCAATGTTGTCCTGGGGTATACATATGTAAATATGCAAAACATATCAATGATCGTGATTTTAATGAGTCTTTCATTGTATAAAAATACAATTACAACTAGAATTATACTCTTGATAAAAAAAATGTTGATGTATGATAAAAATACCAGATTTACCAGATTGTTTGTTTTGGAGTTTAATTTCCAAAAAAAGTATTTTACATACACACACACACACATATACAGTATTTTTCTTTTAATTAATCTTATTATATATTATATAAACTAAATTCAATTATACTATCCATATCTATCCATTATACTGTTGTATTTTACATATATTTTATATACATCTCTCTATCTCTCTCTGTCTATGACTGAATTAATCAAACATAGACTGAATAGATTAGATAAATTAATAGACAAACTAATGCAGGTGGTTTGCAGACAAACGGCTTGCATTGACATATGATACATTTTAATGACACAGCACTTCTGTGCAAATGTGCATGCGCTTCGTTTTCTCTCTGGATTTATACATTCGATTTTGTCTTTTAAATTCTCTGGACTTTCAAACAAGCTGTTGTATTTCTGTAGAGGCTCTTGCGTGTCAGAGTGAATGTGGTTGAGTGATACTTTCTTTACTGTTATGCAACATAAGGATTGCGTGACTGCATGAGGTTTGTTTGGATGGTGTGTCATGCTCATATTAACGTGTGGCAATGCTGCATTTGACCTCTCAGCTTTGTTTGTTTTGTGAAGACAAAAGATCCTCAGTTGAAGATCACTCTGAATGACTACACCTCCATCTTCTCCATCACATCTACTGGCATCACACGCTACCTTACTCTACTGAAACCAGTGGACCGAGAGATACAGACCAACTACACCTTAACGGTACGTGACACACACAAACATAATGTGCACACACATTTACCTGTTTGAAAACCTCCTATTGGCTCTTATTAACCATTGAATCACTCAGAAATATTGCATTGCATGCCAAAAAAAAAGAAAAGTTTTGAATTTTGTATAAAGAATAAAGCCTATTTTAGGACCATTAAATTATTAAAGGACATTTTATGTATTGAAATTCATATTATTATTGGGGGTGATTCTCATTTCTGTATTAATGTAATTTTTTATGTATATTAAAGGTCAGTAATTCATATTTAAATCCTAAACTAAAGATATTAGTGCTATATATAATGTATGAAAATTGCATTTTTAAATTATAAAATATATGTTTAAATGCATTTTTATATATAAAGAAAAATATGTATAATATATGCATTTTATTGAGATTTTAATTAGAAATTTCCAATCTGTTTAAATTTTTGATTTTCCAATCTGTAAATGTATAAAAATGCTATTAGCAAATGCTGGTGAAATTATTGTCATGATTAAAAATTATTCATATGATGAAAACATTAGATTTATGCATTAACCCCATCCCCCCCCCAAAAAAAAATCAGTTGTAACTATTAAATTAAGACAATATTTTAACTCTCTGGAACACACACTGCGTTTATCTAGAGTCCCTGTCACTCATGTCTCTTCTCTCATTGAAAATGAATGACTGGTCGCTTCAGTGTCTTCAGTCTTCTGTCCTCTTGAGATTATTTACCGCGCTTCTGAGACCCTGTGTGAGTCACGATCTGCCCTGTGGGACTCCTCCGGCATGAGGAGCATCTAATTTATTAACAACGGGGAATGTTCTTACTTTAAGATTAATATTTCTGTCTCAAACATCAAGTCTCAGCATGACAACAGTTCGCTGTGATGAACAAAACAGAGCGATTGAAACTATGCTGTTTGTTCAGTATGTGAAGTGTCTCTTCAGGACCCTGTCCATCGATCGGATCTATTGATCTGAGATTTGGGCTCAAGTGTCTCTGATCTTTCCAGAATCCCTCATCTCCAAGGAGCAGTTAAAAAGACAGCTGGATCACAGGAGCGCAGTGTTTTGATCATTGTTTAATCTGAGAGGTGGTGTTTGTTTCGTGGATCGTTCACTGTAGTGACGTGTCAAGACGACTTTCAATTGGAGGTTTCAGGTTCAGTTTGGAATGAAGTAGGAAAGATGGAATCTGAATAATTGAATAATTTAATATCAGAGGAATAAATTACATCTTAAAATATATTAAAATGTAAGACAGTTGTTTTAAATGGTAAAAATATTTAGCAATTTACTGTATTTTTCATCAAATAAATGGGAGTGCTGGTGAACATAAGATACTTTTTTGAAAACATCTTTCCAACAACCAACTTTTGAACAGTAGTGTAGTTCTGTCTAATTAACACGATACTATTTTAAAATAGTATATTGTTATCATATCACATCATTAGTTTAGCACTGAAATTAATCGATCATTCCGGTTTCCCATGAGCTTTGTGCAAAGAGCGTTATTTGTATGCCACACAGTTTCTGCCTATGTAGAGCGTTACTTGAGATCCCATTTTCGTTAGGATGCTGCCTTTGTAGGTGGTAGACACCGAGGCAGCTCACTAGATTTTGGAATAGAGCTTTGTATATTTAATTACATTAAACATGCTGTATCTACTAATTGAATTGAGCTGGAAGAGAAAGAGCAAGAGAGAGAAATTGAAAAAAGGAAGCGAGCACTGGTGTGAAATGATCCTGCTCTGTCATAGATTTGGGTGGAACAACAGTGTAACAGTAGGGGTAATTTAAATGTTTCCTCTGTGAAACGATGCATGACTGTGTTTGCTGTTATGATTTCGTCGTTTCATAATAACAAAGAACGATATGCTATTCTCAGTTCGCTTCAATCTTGCTGAAATTCGAGCACAAATAACAAACAAAGCATTGCCGCTGTCAACATTGTCAGATGTGCGTATGTGTGCATGTTTCAAATGTGTGAAGTAGCTATTGAGTTACTGAGCTGCAGTCTTTCATGGCTTCTTAATGAAATCAGTGATAGACGGGGCTCATAATTGAAATGAAAATATTCAGGGAGATGTATCCACATACTCCTCTTTAATAAACAAAGATCAGTTTGAGCCGTTTTGGGTCCATGAATTTTAACTGCTAATTTGAATTTAATAGAAAAAAAAAACCTGTTTTACTTGATGTTCTTTAGACATTACTACAATTTCTTTACACTAGTTTAACTACACTGAAATTTTTTATATACTGTATATATATTTTAATAAAATATATATAAAAAAGTTTTATATAAAATATAAAGTTTGCACATTTATACGTATTTTATATACATTTACATTACATCTTAAACTAAAACCATAAACATTTTTCTTAAAATAAACTTTAAGTGAAATCAAATAAAATATATGAAAAATTAAATAAAAACTCAAAATATTAATAAAAATGATCTCTGATACTTTTTTTTGGACATTTACCATAATGATTTTTTTTTTCTTATGTACCATTTTTAATGTAATTTTACTTAAAGGAATGCCATGTGAATACAGTGTTATTTGAATATGTTAATAATTCATTACCATTGTACTGTCATCATGATGTTTGAATAGAAATACAGCAGATTATAGTTTGTTTGCAAATTATAAGAGTGAACTGTCTGAAGCAACTGTCAACCATAGGACAACCTTAAGCTTTTCTTTTTAGAGAATTTTAACAGTTTGTTTGTTCGTGAACAGGCCGAGCAGGATAACGGTCACCCTCTTCCTGCATACGCTGACCTGCAGATTGAAATTCTGGATGAGAACAACCAGGTGCCATATTTCCAGCGTTCCTCGTACCAGGGCTTCATCAGTGAGTCTGCCTCTGTTGGCACCACCATCTCAGGGAGCGCCAACCTCACGGCCCCGCTGGGCATCATCGCACTGGACAATGACATAGAAGAGGTGAGATGTTCTCATGAAAAGTGCCAGGACATTTTCAAAATGTTGCTTCACTCCTTTCTTGGGAATGCAAAGATCCATAAAATCACAGGTGGTTTCAGTCTCTCCATATGTTTTATATTGTAGCTGCTGCCAGGGGCCACACCAGTAGGTACCAGAGTGATGTGATGTGTGCCCTCTTTTCTTTTCTTTTGTATTTATAATATAATGGTTCAACAAATGCAGTTTTCTTTCCTTCTTTGCTGTGTTTCCTATTAATACATGAAGTTGGGACATTATATATTGAATAGTTTGTCTTTTTTTAGCCAGTAGGCTATAATTTGTCACAGTTGTGAGCCATTGTTTGTGAGGCAGACGATCTCATTCTAAACAGCAATCGATTGCACAAACATTTTCATGCAAAAAGAGTTAACGGTTATATTTTTCTCTTTTCCTTGAAAAGAGAGACTGTAAATTGTAACCCAATGTTGTTCTGGGGTATACATATGTAAATATGCAAAACATATCAATGATCGTGATTTTAATGAGTCTTTCATTGTATAAAAATACAATTACAACTAGAATTATACTCTTGATAAAAAAAATGTTGATGTATGATAAAAATACCAGATTTACCAGATTGTTTGTTTTGGAGTTTAATTTCCAAAAAAAGTATTTTACATACACACACACACACATATACAGTATTTTTCTTTTAATTAATCTTATTATATATTATATAAACTAAATTCAATTATACTATCCATATCTATCCATTATACTGTTGTATTTTACATATATTTTATATACATCTCTCTATCTCTCTCTGTCTATGACTGAATTAATCAAACATAGACTGAATAGATTAGATAAATTAATAGACAAACTAATGCAGGTGGTTTGCAGACAAACGGCTTGCATTGACATATGATACATTTTAATGACACAGCACTTCTGTGCAAATGTGCATGCGCTTCGTTTTCTCTCTGGATTTATACATTCGATTTTGTCTTTTAAATTCTCTGGACTTTCAAACAAGCTGTTGTATTTCTGTAGAGGCTCTTGCGTGTCCCACCCTCGAAATATCGATTGGGCTAGTTTTGGGCTAGTTTTTAAAGGGGTCATATGATGCTGCTAAAAAGAACATTATGTTGTGTATTTGGTGTAATGCAATGTGTTTATGCGGTTTAAGGTAAAAAAAAACACACATTATTTTTCATATAATGTACATTATTGTTTCTCCTCTATGCCCCGCCTTTCTGAAACACATCGATTTTTACAAAACTCATCGTTCTAAAAAGGCGAGGTGTGCTCTGATTGGCCAGCTATCCAGTGCATTGTGATTGGCTGAATGCCTCAAGTGTGTGACGGAAATGTTACGCCCCTTAACATACTGTGATGCGGTTTCCCAGCAGGACGAGACTCAGTCCAGCTGCTCTGCTCGTGCACATCCCATCAGCGGTTCTCTTTTAGCAGTTCAGTCAATGTACTGTTAGGGGTAACTGAATAACTCAGGATATTGGTTTATTTCGTGTCAGAGGGAGTGTTAGGCACGTTTATAAACCGAATAACTTAAGTAATTTGTGGATTAGTGCGTACTGGGGACGCGGACCGTTTCAAACGATTCAGTTCGATTTGGTGAACTGGTTCGACCAGTTCACTAAGAAGATCCGGTTAAATAGAACGATTCGTTCGCGATCCGGACATCACTAGACGAGAC